AGAATTATACTGACTATTGCATGCCAATTACTTTTAGCTCCTGGAGTGGCAAATATCAAAAAATTTGATGGCACTCTGTGTTGGTGAGGCTGTAGAGAAACAGACATTTTCCAATATTGTTGGCGGGAGTTAAAAAATCAGTACAGTCGCTCTAGAGGGCGTTTTGTCAATATTTATAAAAATTTAAAATGCACATATCTTTTGGCCAAGCAACCCCACTTCCAGGATTTATCCTACAGACACACGGGCACACGTGCCAAGCAGTCTAGTTACAAAAGCGCTTGCTGCAGCTTAGTGAGCTAGCGAGATGGGAGCAACCCCACCGCCTGGCAATAAGGAACTGGTTAAATAAATGCACAATCCACAAGCGAGACTAAGCAGCCCTTTTTTTAAATGAAGAAGCATTTTATCTACTGATATGAAATGATCTCCAAAATAGAGATGGTCGGTCAGCCATGTCTCCCTCATGTATGAGTTCAAGCCCTTGAGTCAGAAACCGCATGTCAAGGGGATCCCAAAGTGATGAAAGCTTGGAAACGGGGAGCCCCAGGGAGGTGTGCTGACCGTTGGAGGGCCCAGCAGAGCATGGCAGCTCCAAAGAGGAGGCAGCCTGAAACCCTGTGAATGCGCTTTTGGCCAACTGGACAGGCAGAGACTGAGGTGGGAGAAGAAAGGTGGTGGGCTATCCCGAGCCACGGCACAGCAACTTCCAGGAGAAAGGTGAAGGAGGAAATGTGGGGCCTTCCTCATGAAGGCAGGGCCAGGACAAGACTCAAGGAGGCTGGGGGCTGCTGAGGGGGCCCTGGATTAGTCCCGGGTGGGGCAGGGGTGTGAAGAGCCCCTTCCCAGACAAGGACCTGGGCCCGGCAGCCTCTGAGAAGCACTGAGGTCCTGGTCAGGCTGCAAGCAGGCACCAGGTACACGTCCACCCAGAAATCAGCCTGTGGTTGCTGGCCTCCAGGCCAGGCCCGGCTGAATCACGGAATTCCAAGGAACAGGCTCCTCCTCCGCTGTGCCCACCACGGGATCTTCCCACCGACAGCGGTCAAGTCAGCCCAGAAGTCTGCCCTCTGTCAATTCACCCTTTTCCCTGAGCCTGGGTTTTCCCCTCTGTGTCTCAGTTAAATGCTTCTTTTGGAAATTTTCAGCCCTTTTTTGGCATAGTTAAGCAGAAAGGAATTTTTCCAGAACTCAGTGAAAGATGTTGGCTCAGCTGGGTTGGGAGGAAGGGCAATTTCGATGAGAAGAACTAGGGGGCTGCTGTGACTGGGGGTGGTGGTGGGGGATGAGGTGAGACCCAGGGAAGTGAACCTGGGCTCCTCGTGGCCTGGGCCACCCTTCCCAGAGTTCCCTGACCCTGAGCCTGGTTCGCCTGCTGGCCAGCTTTGTAGTCTTTGGTCATCTCCCAAGCAACTCGTTCATTCCCTCTCAAGTCTCCTTGCCCCACTCAGTCGACGTACAACATAAGCGCTCGAACAGCCCCCATAGAACCGACTGGATGGGAGTGGAGCCGGCTGCTGTGGGCCCCTGCCGTCTCCCCTCCATTTCTCCCTGGCTTGTCTCAATCGTTCTCTGACTTGATATCAGAGAAAAGTTACTGGGAAAAAGAACCTTTGGGATCCACCCCAGCTAAAGTTATTGAGAGTGACCGTGAGGAGTCCAAGCGCATTCCACAGAGGCCAGGCCCCGCCAGACTTCAGGGCCTTCTAGCCTCTCGGGCTCCGAGAGCCTGGGTGCAGGCTTCCTTCAGCCCCTCAGCCCAGCCCTCCACACGGCGTCTGCCTTCCCCATGCCGTCTTTCTTCCTCCCATTGCATGTTGATCGCCTGCCAAACCATTTCCCTCCTGGCTCCAAACTTTTGTCAGGAAAGAAATGAAATCAGCACTTGGAGAGCTGGAAGGGGGAACAGCTGCTTTTAACAAAATGGGATTGGGGGAGGGGAAGCGGAGCGGCTGGATCTTGGTGGAAAAGCAAGCCTCTGGTTGGGGCACAAGGCTCAGGGCAGGAGAGGCAAATTCAAATCCCCAGCTGGCCCTGCAGGCCCCGTGGGCACCCCGCCCCCCGGGCCCCCCCCCCCCCCCCGCACCCCCGTGAGAGAGGCTTCCTAACGGCGTCTTGGGCTGTCTTCTTCAGACACGGACACATCTTCTATCCACGTTAACCATCCTCGGGCTGTGTATCTCGCTCCAATTTAGAGAAGAGGGCACAAAAAATATTTGTTTCCTCTTAGCTCTCCTATAAGAAAAATAATAGTGCATATGTTTGAGATACAATAGGGATTGGTGCAGACTGTGGCATGGGGACCATCAGGTAAAATTGCTCAGGTTGGGCAGACTGCAGCATCCACCGATTGTGGCCATGTGGCGATGTGGGCCTCTGATAAATCTGACCGAGAGATCTGGATTTTCGTTAAAAATCGCCTGAGATTTACATGTTGACAACTAATTCAGAAGCTTCAAGGCCTGGTGAGTCAGCACAGTGTGGGCTGAGCCAAATGCATCTGTGGCTGGAGCTGGGCCTGTGGCTCAGAGCTTGTGACCCCTGGCTTATGGGTGAGAGCTGAGGCGCAGACCCCAGCCGACTGGGCCACAGCAGCCTGGAGTGGGCGGTGGGTCAGCTCCACACCAGCCTGGGATCTCCTCCTACCATTTTGTGTCCCTGACCCCTCCCGGCTCTGAAGTGCTTTGCTTCCCGAAGTGTGCACCTGTGCACCTGGCTCTTCTTTGGAGCGCTTCCCTCAGGCTCTGGGAGCCTCCTTCCCTGGAGAAGGTGAGCCAGAGGCCCTAGAATTCCAGTCTTCTCTACAGGCCATCCTGGTGAAGGACTAGTGGGAGCAGGGCCATGGACGTCCAGTCCTCCTGCCTTGGGTCAAGAGATGCCTGGGCACCGCTCATCCTCCAAAGTGCCCCGCAGGGTCAGCTGAGCCACTCTCTGAGAGCACCCTTCACCCACCTCCTCCACCCCCAGCTGGGCCTCCTCTCTCCCCCTACCTGCTCCTTCACTCCCTCCCCAGTTTCTCCTGGGAGTGCTTCCCTAATAAACCACAGGCACACGAGCCCTTGTCCCAGGATCTGGTCTGGAGGCCCCCCCTTCCCTCAGACACAGCCAAGGCCAGTGGACAACCCCTCCCATCGTGGGGAAAGGATACCTTTGCCAGGGGCTGAGACAGCAGTTTGAGAGCCTCAGGGGACACTGCCTTGTGGGAGAGTCAACCTAGGATGCCTATGGGCCTCCCACAGGCCCTCTGCTCTCCACCCCACCCCACCCCTTCCTTTAGACTTGGGGTCGCTCCCAAACACCCTCCCCCACCATATGGCAACCACGCAGGTGTGTGTGTGTCTGACCCTGCCCCAGGCCCAGGGTGGGACTTGACTGGTATAAGCCAGTTTCAGTAAGTCCTAGCCCCCTTGCATAGTGGCTGCGACAAATCCCCCAGACTGAAGTCACTTAGTGAAAGGAATCCCCATGGAATGCTACAGGGAGTGGTGCGGAGAGGATCCAGTTGTCTCGAACCTGGGAATTCTGAGACACGGATACAATATAGAGAGTGTGCAGGCTTGGAATATATGAGGGAAGCCAGCCGAGAAGAAAGCTGACCTGCAGGAGAGGGCAGATGAGAGAACTGAAGGGAAAGGAAGCCAGAGCCCAAACCTAGTTTCTGGCACTTCCCAGGAAGCGAAGGAAGCCAGGCAAGGGCGCTCTCCTAGGTCAGTTACTGCCGTGGGCTGCTGGGCAACCGAGAGAGAGATGACCAACAGGAGAGTCAGGCCCCTGCGAGTTACCCCAGCCAAGGGCAAGGGAGCTGGGGTGTTTACCTGTGCGTCAGCCAGAGAGGCACTGGTGTGGTTCGCTGGGTCTCACACTAGGACCAGCTGGGACCTGTTTATAAAATCGTGATGCCTGGGTCCCCCTCAGAGCCCCTGAGTGAATGAGCCTGGGCTGCAGCCTGGGCGTGGGATGGTAAGCTCCCAGGGGATTCATGTGCGCAGCACAGTTTGGGATGCCTGGTCTAGCTGATTTCTCAGATCCCTTTGAGCCCTCAGGGGTCGGCGCCTCCCTGGACAAGTTCAGCTGAGGATGGAAACCCTGAGAAAGGCACCAGGGCAGCTGGAGAGAAATCACTGGCCGGCTGGGGCTGCAGCTGGTGGCGGCTTGAGAAATGAGGTTTTTGGCCTTAACTCCGCTGTTCGTGCTCCCTTGACCATAACGGAGCCCAACTCACAGACTTTCTTTTTAGAAAGAAAAAAAAAAAATTTCAAGCATATTTTCCGAAGTTTAATTTCCTTCCAGTGTCCTGAAGAAACCTTCCTAAAAGCTTATGCTGCCTCAACCCCCGTCTCTGGAAATAACGTCAAAGACTTTGAAACTGAGACCCAGTGTGACTGTGCTAGAGTAAATAAAACCAGGGGGAGGAGGGAAATTACAAAGAGCATGGGTCTAGGGAAAGCCAAACCTCCACCAAGAAGGCAAACAAGGAAGCTGGTTGGGGCGGGGGAGGGGTACAGAATTCTGAGAGTTTAAAATTCAGGAAAAGAAGAGAAATACACTAGGGTTGCCAGATTTAGGAAATAAAAACCCAGGATGCCTAGTTCAATTTTAATTTCACATAAACAATGAATAATTTTTTAATGTGTGTGTTCCATGTAATATTTGGGGCATATTTATATTAAATATTGCATGGGGCACGCTTATACTAAAAATATTATCCATTACCTATCTGAAATTCGTATTGAACTGGGCGTCCTGGATTTTGTCTGGCAACCCTAAAACATACAGACAAACAGACTGGTGTCTGTTTGGACACCAAGGTGGTTCGGACACCCTTGACTAACTGTCTGAATTAAACTGGTGTCTCTGTGCTTAACTAGACGTCTCTGGTCTTACCTGAGCGTGCCTGGCTCAGGCAGGTGTCTCTCGCCTTCTATTTGTAGGTGGAGTGAAATGCCGGGAGAAGATGAGGGAATAGATGAAAAGGGGAGGTGGGGCGGTGCGCACTGGGAGGTAAGGGGCGCAGCATCCCCCTGCCAGCTGGCTCTCCCCGCCCCCACTGTTCTGCTCAGGCCCGAGAAGAGCTCCGGCGGCAGCCCAAGTCGAGAATTTACCTTTCCCCTCTGTCAGCCAAGGATTTGGAGGTAAGGTCTGCAGAAATCAGGGGAGCTGCTGCGCCCAGCCCTGGAGCTGTGGGAAGGCGGACTGCAGGATGAGCCCCCCCACCGCCACACTCAGGGCCACCCTTTCCCCATCTCCCTGCCTCCCGGTGCCCTACATTTTTCTCCCTGTGCTGCCTCCATCCACCCTCCTTTCTCCCCGCCTCTTGTCCCTCCAAATAAGGAAGCCGGAGGCAATGGAGTGGTCAGAGGAGGATGCACGTGGCGCTGCCCCTCCCCCAGGCTGAATCCAGCTGCCAGCAAGGCAGCGGGGAGGGAGCGAGCGCGGGGGCAGGGGCGGCTCCCCGGCTCCGCCTGCACCCGCCGGCCAAGGTCAGAGTCGGAGGCCAGCTGCGGCGCGAGCCGAAAGCCACGTCAAGGAGAGAAGAGGCCTGCGGGGCTGCCAAGAACTGCGCGGCTGGCGGCGCGGGGAGGTGACGATGACGTGGCAGCGTGATGAAGCGCCACATCCCCGGCAGGGCGTTCTGCTCCCAGGAGCTGACCCAAAGAAAATAGCCCAGATCAAGAAAGAGAGATGTGTCCGGAAATAGTCACAGCGGCATAAGGGAAATGGTCTAATAAATCTCGGTACATCAGCACAATGGAATGTTTTTTATTTCTTCAGGCGTTCATTAAGTGCCCACGTGGTGACAGGCATCCTGCCAGCCACTAGGTACACAAAGGTGGGTACAATCCCGTCTCTTCCCCCAGGGGTTCACAAGCAAGATGATGGTTAAGAGCACAGACTCCAGACCCAGGTAGCCATGGGTCTGAATTCCAGTCTGTCTCCTCATTTCTGAGATGGGGACCCCTCACTGGGAAGGGGTGAGGACCCAATGAGTAATGTACAGGAGGCATTTGGCACAGTGCCTGGCACGTATTTAAAGCTCCCAACAGTTACCAACTACTGTTATTACCATTACTGTTCCTGTAGGAATGTGACAGGTGCCATAATAGAAGGATGTACAAACCATAACGCAAGCAAGGAGGAGGATGTGCTAAGTGCCGTAATAAAAGGACATGTAGGCTATCAGGAGTATGCAGAAGAGGATGTGCTAAGTGCCACAACAGAAGAATGTACAAGCTCTGGGAACACGCAAAATGACGTGTTTAATTCCGCCTGGGGATGTCACCAATGGCCCCCATAGGCAACAGCCCAGCTGGGGCTTTGAAGACTGTGTAGAAGTTTGCTGGCAGGACAAGAAATGAAAGTCATTTCAGGTAGAAGTAAACATGTGGGCCAAGAGGGGAAGAGACAAGGGGAGGGGCAGGGTGAATTCCAGGAACAACTTCTAAGTGTCTTGTGGAGAAGAAGAGTAGTGCCCAGGGTTACTGCTCTTCACTTACGTGCATCTATTCTCAGTCACACGTGTGCTAAGGCAGCCCTCCATCTGTGACCATCTAGACCTTGGTTCTGCATGCTCAAGACCCCACCAGGCACAGCCCTCCAGCATGGCGAGGTCTCCATCCTTTGGGTTCACCTCAACCCACTCAAGAAGCTTTGAGGCCAACATTGAAAGGGAAGGTCTGGATTTTTATCCTTTTCTTCCCGCAATGATTCTTGGCCCCTCTGCCAGTTTGCCCAGCCCTTTCCCAGCAACCTTTGAGCTCTCAGTATCAAGAGATACTGGGAGGAACAGGGAGGAGCCATTTTCATGTCCATCGACCCAAATCCAAGTGAAAAGTTCCCAAGTTCTTGAAAGAAGGAACTGTAGTGATACTGTTAATCAAAATAGTTAACAAACATGATAGTTCCCTCTCCGTCAAGCACTTTACACACACCATCCCTGTGGATTGCTGTTCTTATTCTCCAGTTTTAGATAATGCAGCTGAGTTGAAGTGATCTGTTCAAGGCCACCCGCTTAGTAATGGTGAGTCTGAGATTCAAACCCAGGGCTGCCTTGCTCCAGAGCCCATTCTCTTACCACGGGGCCATGCTGTTTAAAAATCTAAATGAGCCTAGTTAAGGCTTTCATCAAGAGTAGGGAGAAGGCATGGCTCCTGATCTCTTCACTTGGGGGAGACATTAGCTGGTGAGCCTGTCACAAGCCCATAAAGGGCCATGGCCACAGACCTGAGTGCTACATGTTGAGCATCGTTTATGCACCAGACACTGTCCTGAAGTCGTGTCTGTATCAGATAGGGTCCCAGCACAAAACAAAAACCAACCAAGTTCTTTCAACTGAGAGAATTTAACATAGGGGATTCGTTTATAGCTTTGCCTTTCTGAGGAGCCAAATGGGGTGGCAAGGTGACCCAGAGTTCAGTAACAGCAGAAAGGCATTGCTGTGACCACTAGGGCCAGGACAGGAAGGGACAAAGGGAGAAGGTGAGATTACTAGTGCCCATGGTTTGAGGCCATCTGGCAGGAGCTGGAGCCACAGCAGAGATGTAGCCACTGCCAGTGGACACCACCAGAAGTGGGGGAGGGGAGGGATTTCTAACCCTGACAACTATTCTTCAAGGTAATTTTTACCCCATTTTAGAGATGAGGAAACTGAGACTTGGAGAGGTTAAGTGACTGACTCAACCAAGATGGAGCAACTTTTAGGTCAGGGAAGTGCTGACTTAAACTCAGGTCACTGTGTCTGTCTTCATGGCTCAGGCCAAACCAGTCACCTCAGAAACATTGTGAACTATGAAGAATTCAACAACAACAAAAGAAGACAATTCAGGAGCCTTGAGGTTCCAAAGACCTGACCCGTATGGGGTCAGGGATCAAGGGCCCTGGGGTGACGATGGTGCTCGTGTTCCCTTCCTCTTCTGTCCCCGCAAGTCCCGGTTGTCGCCTGGAAAGGAAAGTTATATTAAGCCACAGCCAGGGCTCTGGGTGTTGGGACGAAGAGCAATTTTTATTTTTCTCTTTGTGCTCTTCTGTATTTTCCAAATTTTCCTCAAGGAACACGCACATCTTCATTAACAGGAAGGACAGATAACCTTCAGGCAACACTAAACTGGTAGCTGGCTCCAGACAAAGCCTTCAGCAGGAAAAAAGTTGGGGCAAAAGATGGTGACAGGAGGGAGGACTGGCCAGCTGGCCAGATGGCTTGTCACAATCCTGCATCCTCCTCTCCTGGGAGAGGACAAAACCAGGAACCAATAACATGCCATGGTCTAAACTGTTCTTTACAAACACACACTAATGCATACACACACAAACCTCATATGCACAAACACACACACATACACTTACACATAGGAGGCACATAAATGTACAAGCACACATGTGCACTTATATGCATGCCCACCCACAACACACATGCATATATACACACATATTTGTTCACACATGCACACACAAAACGCACACGTACACACACGTAAATGTGCACATGTATACATGCCAAGCAGAAATCTCTCACACATCACACATGCATATGCACACATCACACCCATATATACACACATATATCACACACATATACACAGCCGTTACACACATACACAGCCATTACACACATCACACACACAAACAGCCTCATTCTGTTTCACTTTTTTTTTTTTTTTTTGGTGAAGAAGATTCACCCTGAGCTAACATCCCTGCCAATCTTCCTCTGTTTTGTATGTGGGTCACTGCCGCAGCATGGCCACCAACAAGTGGTGTAGGTCTGCTCCCGGGAACTAAACCCAGGCTGCCGAAGCAGAGCGCACTGAACTTAACCACTAGGCCATGGGGCTGGTCCTGCTATTTCACTTTGAAAATAAGACTTGGCAAAACTTTCCTGGCACAACCACCTGGCAAGGCTTTCTCTGGCCTCCCCCGAGCAGCTCCCAGTGACACCTCCCAGGAGCAGGGATGTCTTCATTTTTCGGCCCCAGAACATGAGCCACAGGTGCCATTTCAGGGGTGGGCTCCAGAGAGGTCTTCCCTCTGTGACCACAGCTGGAGGCCCTACCCATCCCCTGAGGGCTAAGCTGCCCATCAGCACCCGGAGCTCACACCAGCAGGGCTGCCAAGGAGCTCCCTTGAACTCACACCGCCCTAAGCCGCCACACTCTAAGGAGTGGCTGCAGACTGCAGAGTCCACACTTGTCCAGGGGAAGCCTGTGAGGTGAGAGCCCCTTGGGCCCACAGGAAGGCTCTTGGAGTTAGATTCGTGGGTCAAGCCCCTGCTCCTCTGTGGGCCTTAGTCTCCTCCTCTGTAGTGGAAGGGACCTCTCAGCTCTAAAGACCTGATGTGGCATGTCCCTTGGGGCTGCATCCAGGGCTTGTAGGCTGCTGCGGTCTGAGACTCCTGACCTTACAGGCACCTGGGAGGGAATTGAATTCAGAGGATGAAACGCACCCAAAGTCCTCAGCCACCATTATTTATTCCCTGGGCTCCCATAGTCACTGCCACTATAAATATATGTGTAGCTCACTCCACCAGAGAGCCCAGGTGGCCCTGGGGAGACACCAGAGAGAGGGGAACCCCCAGCATGTGCATTCAGCCCTTCCCACCCCCCACAGGTTAACCACAGCCCAGTGGTTTGTCAAAAACATCTGCCCACATGTTTCCTGGATGACATCTTGAGCAGTAAAGGACCTGGGATGGGAGGGGACAGCTGGGAACTGAGGATCTCCAGAGGAGTCTAGAACAGGAGGGGGTGGCAAGCACTGCAGGTGTGGGGACGGGGTCACATGGGCAAGTCCTGGGCCTGTGGCTTTTGATCACCAAGGTGGTGGGCCTGCTCAGGGTAGGCTAAGATTCCTCTCCGTAGCGAGGTAACCTCCCAGAGGGGGTGCCCCAGCAGAGACTGAATTTAGGGGTTTTGCTTCTTTAGAGGAAGACCTTGTCTATTACATCACAGGATGGGTAAGGACAGGAAATTAGCTTGAAATGACCTGAACTTGACATCCCTTGGAAGAGGGACAAGAGCCCCCGATGGTCCAAGGAGTGAGGAATGGGCCCCCCGGGAAGGACGTAATTCCCAGAGTGCCCAGAAGTAACGCTGTCCTTTGCCCCTGGTGGGAGAGGCCCCTGCCCTGGGTGTCAGGCCTTACAGAGCCCCAGTCTGGCTCTTCTGGGCCATGTTCCTCCCCACAGTGTCGGGAGTTAGTGAGGCCAAGGGGACAGGCCCAGCTAGATGATCCCACATACCTGCTTCTTCTAGGGTACCATCCGTAGGCTTGAGGGGTGGCCAAGGGGCCACTGCCTGCAAGATGTCTACTGTGGCAACTATAGCAGTCAGAGTACCAATAGGAAAATGGAGCCCAGGCCAGGGGGTCAATAGTGGATTAACACAAGAAAGGAGTTACCAAAGGTGATGAAAGACCTGAAAACCTAAACAGGGAGCTGAAGTCTCCCAGAGATTACAAGCAGCAAGAAACGGCTACCTCCCTAGGGCCACAGGGACAAAAGAAGAGAGGGTATTATCAGGAGCCGGAAGCATGCCTGCAGGAGCAGGAACTATGGAGGAGGCACAGCCATTGCTGGAGACACCACTTGCAGAGAGGGCTGGAGGGAGCCCCACCCTGGCTTCTCCCTTCCTCCCTGGTGCCTACCTCTGGCCAGTGCCTCCATTAGCTGAACCAACAGGAAGTCAGAGTGCAAGGGAGCCTGGGAAGTGTAGTCCACAGGGGTCAGGGGCTGCAACACACAGCAGGACAGGGAAG